ATTAAAAATACTTTTCTTCATCTGAAAAATCTCATATTTCATTTGTGTAATCTCTAACACCTCCTAAAGAAATTTCACGTTTTTTTCAGTAAAACTTTATATTTTATCTGTTATTTTCTCTACTTTAATTATGTACGAGATTGGTAAGATTCTCCAACCTCGTAACTACCAAAAAAAAATTTAAATAAACTTAAACTACCCTTTTCTTTTCTTTCTAGAATGACTTCAAACTGTAACATGAAACTACATTTGTTTATCCCAAATAGCTTTAAACTAGTAAAATCATACATCTGTTCATACTTAGATTTTATTGTTTTATTGCCCTTTGAACCCTATCTAATTAATATTCACTTGGTGAACACGTAGCCCATGTTACCCTATCAAAATACATAATGAAAACATTTTATTGTTATTCTTATTTAATATTTTATCTAATCTAACCTTATCTAACCTAAAACGTTTCTAATTTTTACATTTTATTTACTTTTATAATAATAAATAAATAACACACATGAAAAACAAGAAATATAGTATTTACATGGGTCTTCTTTCTTCTTTTTTTTGCTGTCAACTGTCGACGAAACTTATCCCTACTGTTTTATACCAATGGTACTACTACACTAAATATTTTTTTATTTAATTAAATAATGCACCAAAGAATAATAATATGCAAAAAGCGAACAATGTCCAATAACTATCACAATTTTTCTGGCTTTCTATCTATGCAATAAGAGTTGTTACAATGCAGCTACAGTCCTTCATGTGTTTCCCACACAATTAAAGTTTGAACTGGAAGCAAATTAGACAGTTCTCTGTAAACAATATATCATATTATTTGATAGATTAAAACCTTGGCTTTCAATCGGTTAAAAATAGTATAGAATTAAACATCAGAGAGAGTGTTGGCAAATTGTGAAAGACAGGATATGACAGGTGGGCATGACAAGATGGGTCTGATTTTCTAGTTTAAGGCTCTGTAACCAAATAAAATTGCAGGTTATAAAAATTATGCTTTGTCTGAGCAATAACAATATTATAACGAGTAATTTATGTGAAATTTTATACTTCTCAGAGGGATGGTAAATAAATTAGAGAAGAGGGGATACCTAGAGAGCAAAGGTCACAATTCTGATACCAGGGGAAATTGAGGTTTCTTTTCTTAATATTGACTTATAAAATTGAGAAACTTATATGATATTAAAATTTGGATTATTAGCTATGTTTTTTTGCCAAGTTTATTTGTATACCATGACAATGAAATACATTAGTTAAATTTTGAAAGTAACTCACTAAAAAAACCTTGTGACATGCACAGAAAAAAATGCCTATAGTGAGAGGATTAAATGCAGTATGACAGTTAAATTTTTCACAAGCTAATTATTTCATTTGTTAAGGTCTTGTAGTTACTACTTCTCTCTAAACACAAAAAATTTTTAATACTTCATACCTCAAAGAAGGAGCATGAGCTAACAGACGGGTCTACACGAGCTTTTGAGCGTTTATATGATGCAGTCAAACTGTAACATCTTCCATCAACAACTTTCCCATTTCTTTCTTTACTCACCTGTTAATTTCATTTAAACACCAAGGGAATTTTGGTATTAATCAGATTAACAAAAGCCTTTTTACAAAATATTTCCTATGTTTTGTTAGAATTTGATTAATGAGCTGAGGATTTATAAAAGTGTATTTAAATGAAGTTAAAAAAAATTCTGTGAAAGGAATTTTATCCAATTAAAATATTATTTTCTTGTGTTTCTGAATATGTGGACTTGTAACATAGGAAAAATAACATCTGTTATTAGTTTAACAAAAAAATAATGTTTTTTTTATCAGGATTTTTAACTGTATTTACCATCTACTAAACCTAGAGATAGCTAATATTAAAATTGCTGAAAGCTATAGGGAAAACAAATGATCTTACATTTGTATTGAAAGGAAATAATTTCTAGTTATTAAATTTTAGTGTTTAATCTTTTCATATATTTTTAAAATATTATTTTTTTAATTTCATTGATTCATATCCCATGATACTGTATACATGCAATCCATATAATGACATGAGATAGTTCCACAGACATAGATACATCTGTTTCATTAATATATTGAGTAAGAAGCCACCTTTTTCCACGAGGCAGCAAACACAAGACCACACAATCTTTACATACTACACCCAATGATGAAGAAAGACTTACAACACAATGTTTGGTCTCACATCATGTATCATTTTTTATAACCCAAGAAATATTTTTCATTGTTAAATATATATTTCACAAAATAATCAAAGTTACACATAACTCGCTACTGACACTCCAAGATGTTTGTCTTTCTTAATTCATTTTTAAAAAATACCATGTCTCATAACTGGGTTTTACTAGATCTCATACAATCAGGATAATCGTAATATCAACTTCAAGTGGGAAAATCTAGAAACAAATGAATTATTTATTAATGTCAGATGTACATTTGATTTTCTACAAAATATTTTACCACAAAAGTTTATATAATATCCTTTGATATACTTATTCTTCATAGGGATATTTACTATGTCTCCCATGAAGAGGTTTTAAGACAAAACTGTTTAACTTATGTTGAATAAACACTCAAATTTTTCCCCAACACTTCAGTTTCCAATATGCTTATTTTAACTAGCTTAAACAAAATTCTTAAACAATATTCCAAGACTTCAAATATTTTTTAAGCTGACTGTAATTTAGAATAAATCCAAACTACAACTGAATTGTGAAAATACTTTTAAATACTAACAAAATAAATACAAGGTGTAAAAAACACTATCTGATGCCATGAAAGAAATAGATTTTCCCAATTCCTAAGGTATGGAGAAAAAAAATATATAAAATATGAATATAAACTTATACTTAAGTGCTATACATACCTGAGGATGTATGCATAAATTTTTTCGAGAACTCAAACATAAAGCTACAGATGAACTTTTCTGGCCAGTTTCTTTCTCATAATAAGCAATCAGTCCTTTCAATTCTTCAAGTACCTGTGAAATGAAAAAGGAGTAAAATTTTCCATATTTCTTACATAAAAGCCATACTTACAAAACAGTTATGCTAATATCTACAGAGGATTTATATATATAATCTGCAATAACAATTTACATTCCCAATCACCTGGCCCTTGGCCATTCTCATGGGCTGTGCCTCCACAGATTATAACATCTGGCCTTTTTGTTGCAATTTAGTTGAAGTGTGGTGATTTACAATTGCAGATGATGCCCAAAAATTGACTTATTTAAGGAGATTACAATTCAGGGCTTACCATTAAGAACTCTTACTACTTCATGATTATTAAAGCTTGCAAGGCACACAGTTTAACTATTTCAAAGAAACGAGCATCTGTTGTGTTGAATCATATTAGTACATAAAGGAAAGGCATGATTCCAACTGGGAAAAAAAGGTTACAACATGAATGATTACTAGTCACATAACAGAGGTAGTGAAGAAAGAAGTTAAACAACTTTTTACAACAAGTAGTTCAGCAACACGGTGGTCCATGAAGCTAAATCAGAAACTACTCTTGGAACTGTAAACAAGACAATTCTCACAATTCATACTTGATTGTTTCTTTTACAAAAAATTAAGGTTAATTAACTGAATTATTGATGTATATTAAAAAAGAAGAAAACTATAACAGTTTTCTTTAATTTGTTTTAATTTAATAATGGACATGAATTACAATGAGTTGAAAATTAAAAACTAAAATTCTTAAATTATTATCCCAAACAAAAGTTGTAGTGCATAACTCACTCTTAGCAACATACAAAAATAAAAATAATGTGGCTTAAAAGTAGTGAATGTTTGGTGTGATTTTAGACAAGTCACACATGTAAATCTTTTTAGTTTCTGATTGGTCAGACTTTTTATTTATTACTTACTTGGTTACATTAAATATATCATTTTTTATATGTTTAGTGACTAAAGTTTACATTCTAAAATATTTCCAACTAAAACAAGAATTTTTAAAAGTTGTTATTCAGGCAGTTACTTAACTTAATACTTGCCTTCTTTCAAAACACAAATTTTCAAAGCTGAAAATAACAAATCTGTTTTAAATACATTAATTAATGTATTCACAACAGTGTAAATATTCTTTATTTCAGGCAGTTAAAACTATATAATGCACTTTTGAATCAGTAATTTTTAAAGAAAAACTAAACTACAAAAACAAAGATCAATATACTATGAAGTTATATCACCTTTTCAATCTCTGGAACTGTACGGGAACAGTATATTAACTTTGCAAGCTCCGATGGTTTAGCCTAGAACAAAAATACACCTTATTACTGATTTATCAATATTTATAAACACATCAAGCATGGACTCTACTATACTTAATTAAGAAAGGGGTTGATAAAAATGAAAAAATATTCTATCAACTTCATAAACTTTTTCATTTATTGTACACTACAATTCAAATGAAGTATATATATATGTGTGTGTGTGTGTGTGTGTGTGTGTGTGTAGTATACTCC